GGGGGGGTGGGGGGGGTGGGTGCATAGGAAGGGAGAGATGTCTTTGCGTTGGCTCTGGTCTGGGATGCATCTCCCATCCTCTTTCCATCCTCTCTCGGAGACTGGAGGATGCTGGATGTTGATTCTTTTGAAGCCTATAAGCCCTGAGTCTCAACTCATCTCAGCGCTCTGGGTGGGCCATGTCCTCGTGGTCCCTCTCTGCTCTGAGAAACAGGGGAGGGAAGAAGTTGCGGGTGGGATAAGGGTTCCCAGAATCACCTGGGCCTCCCCACTCTCTCTTCCTCCCTGCCCCACCCCCGCCAGGTGCAATGACCTTGGCTGCAGCTGAACCCCTGGGCACGGATGGTCGGTGCACTGATCACAGCACTGATTCTGGGGGTGACAGGTACCCAGAATCCCAGTGTGTGCACGCAGGGTAACTGCATCGTGGGGCTGTCGGTGACTCTCTATGTGGCACTGGGAGAACACATGTGACTAGTTATGGCTCCAAGGCTGGGTGAATGTGAGTCTGTCTTTACTTGTGATTGTGTGTGGCTGTATGACTGCTACTGTGTGTGTGTGTGTGCGTGCGTGTGTGTGTGTGTGTGTGTGTGTGTGGTGCCTTTTCCCGTACTGAGTGACGGTCTGGGACAGGTGTGACTACTCTTTGAGGCTGTAGCTGTGATTGTGTGACTGGGTGTTTGTGCATTTAGGATGGTGTGTGTGTATCATTGACTGTGAGTGTTACTGTGTGTGGCTGCTTGGCTTTGTGTATGTATGACTGCTGGTTTCTGTCCCTGTGTGACAGGATTGTGTGTGACAAAAGTGCTTGGCACCATGACAATGTGTGGCTAGGTGCCTTCGGGTAGCCGTTTGTGATTGTGTGATCGTGGCTGGGTGCAGGATTTTGTGTGGCTATCTTTGCAAACATGTGACTGCTTGAGGGTCTATGTATGGGTGACTGTATGTGACTGTGTGGCTGTAGGGGCTGTATGTGTGATGGTGCAGCGCTGTGTGTGTGTGTGCAGTGCCCATCCCTCCTGTGACAGACTGAGTGTGCAGGAGAGGCTGTTGCCACGAGACAGTGGCTGTGTGAAGGTGCATGATGCTAGGTGACTTGCCCTGTGTCATGCTCGGTCCACTGAGTCTAACCTTGTCACATGCCACCATGCTGTGTGCAGAAGTGAGTGGCAGTCTCTACCTGTCTGCACACGAGGCATATATACACAGGTCACTAAAACACTGTGTGTGAGTGAGTGAGATCATGTAAGGCTGCCCCCGAATGTGTGTACCTGGGAAGCGTGTGTACCACGAGGCAGAGCTGTGTGTGTAACTGTCCCTATGGAGACGACGCACGTCTCCCTGTGTAACTGTGCATGTGCACGTCTGTGACAGCCGTTGTGTGCCTGTTTCTTGGACTGTGTGCATAAATGAAGACAGCAGCAAGGGTTTCACTTGTCTGGGTCCTCAGCAAGAATATAAACACGTGAACGCGTGAACAGGCGATGGGGGAACCGGTGATGGGGTAGGATATCTATGCCCCTATCTGCAGGTTTGTGTGAGGGAGAAGGGTATTACCAGGATAGTTCAGGAGGCACATTTGTGTTCGAGAATTCGTAAAATAGCTCTGCTCTCCACCCCCCACCCCACGGGAGTCCCACCCCAGTCTGAGCACTTTTCCTGGTTCTGCTCCTCCAACTCTGGCCCAGCCCACAAGCTCTGACTCTGCCCCTTTTCCCCATCCATGCCCCAAGTCCAGACTACCTACAGTCAGGGATCCTTGAGCTGTGCCCCTCCCCCAAGAAAGGCCCAGCCTCTTTGGCTCTCCACCTTTGGGCCAGGCTCCACCTCCTGCCCTGACCACAGCTCTTAGAACCCAGCGCCTGCCTTTTCCGCCCAAAGTCAGGGCGCTTTATAGAATCGACTCCTCCGCAGGACGCTGGCCTTGGCCCTGCCCAAGTCGATTTCAAGCCCCTCCCACATCTCAGGCTCTGCAGACTCTAGCCCAGACCCCATTCGCTAAGGCTTGACCCCCCCCC